ATTGATATGGCGTGAATACTACAACTTTGTGCGACCTGCTTGACATTGCGGGAGAGAAAATGCAAATATAGAATGATGAAAGGTGCTTTTTCATTTTCTCTCTTCGCACGTGTCTTCTTGTGGCAAGCGTGATGGTTTTGAAATTTCAAAAGAGTATGAAAGAAAAAAACGCCACGCCTGCGCGGAAGGCACAGCATACTCACAGCGAAAGCTGGAATGGCAGCCTTACAGAGCCTTTCTAAACACTCATTGGGTAACTGCTGCAAGCACACTTGCTGGGTGCCCACTACGGCATCAATTTCTCGGTAGTAGGCCAGCATTCGCTAGGTTATCCGTCGACATTCTTCTGAGAAGTGTGGTATCCACTTAGCACTTGCAAGGGATTTTGTGCCAATTGTTCATGCAGTGGCTGAGGACGAGGAATTATGACTGAAGTGGGTATGCGCCATAGTTTATAGTTAAACAAAAACAATCTTTTGTAATGGCTTGGGCCATTGGACGACCCACAGTTATGCTATTTGCATTGTGTGATGGCTGCCTGTTCTTTCGCTGCTTTAAAACACTTAATAAGTCGTATTAATGTGATAGCTTTCGTCATCAAGCCTGCCTATGGCAAGTTTGCCAACAAGTCCCAAGCACTGGCGTGGCTCAGTGGTAGAATACTGGGCTGGCACCCAGCGCATCCGGGTTCAAGCCCCACTGTTTCATTGGTACTAGGTTTTTTTCTAATTTCTGCAATCGTGGTTATAGACACCGGCGGCAGACAACTATGGTGCTGCGCGTGACCGGAGTTTTGATCTCATAACAGCTTTTGCTGTAAAACTTTCTCTTTAATGCCCCGTTAAAATGTACAACCAACAAATGCGGTCATTGGTAAAATACAATCTAAGGTGTATGGTTGTCCTTTGTCAACTCCTGGGCGAAATTAAAATTGTCTTTCTGAGGAGAAGGTGTTTAGAATGATGGGGACAGCACTGTCAAGGCCATTTTTAAAAGAGCCGTGAGAAATCTCTATATAACTCCACCAAGCAATCTCTCCAGGTCCTACTTTCCAGCCACTCACATGCACACAAACACAGACGCATGTGCGTGCACGCACACACACGCACGCACGCTGCATACATTCTCCTTATCCTCAGCAAGGAGAAATGGATGTGGACAACTCTCCCTCTCAGTAATGCTGCCAGCATTCCCCATTACTGTGGCCAGTGGCATTTGATATGGCTGTTTGGGACCCAGTTTCTGCTTTTGGTTCTTCGTGGCCCCATAGCCTGTTAGTAGCACCTTGTGGAATGTGCCGCCACAGTAGCTCACTTCTCTGAAACCCGTTCTTTATGCAACATTTCAGAGAATGCTGCCACAGCTTTCAACTTGCAGAACAGTAGCCTGCATACACTCTCGGACTGAATTTGTGGAATGCTTACAGAAAAAGCTTTCCTTCTACCATTTCTTTATACACCTAACAAGTTGCTGCTACAGCTCCACAAACCCTTAGCAAAATGGTGGCATTCCTCCAAAAAAGTAACTAGTTCCAGAACTTTTCATATAATACTTGTAATACTGTACATGGGGGACATTACGTAGCCCTGGCTCAACTGGTACTCAGAACTACAAAACTGCGTCTTGGCCCAATCATGATCAGTTTTGGCTGTGCAGTTGCACGTATAGCAAATTTTTAAGGTGTGAAGCTCCTTAGGGTGGGTCATTCCCTCCTCCGTACATATGTAGCCACCTCTAGTTTATGAATTGCTCACTAGATGGCAATAGTGGTTTTCATATAGTTGACAATTAAAGAGGTTGAATGGTGCTGTTATAATAACAAATTCCCAGCATATCCATAGAGTGAATGACGATGAGTGAGCGAAGCGTTCGTCCGTTGCGTGTGACAGGAGCAGACAGACAGACAGACGGACAGACAGACGCTAGCAGACGCTTCACCCCAATCATCATTCATTCCGTGGATATGCTTTTTACCTCACCTGTGCCTAGTAACACACTTTGTTACCATGATACTTGTAGGTAACTGATAGGAAAACACAGAGGAAGCCTTATTCAGTCGTTGGCTGCATGCTAATGATGCAAGTCACTGATGTGCCAGGCTCACTATGATGTGCTGTGCCTACCCCTCTTTGTAGCAGAAAAGGGTACCGAGGCCAAGCTAGAAATCAAAACCAGCAAAGTGGCCAAAGATTCAAATAGAAGATTCTTGCGGCAGCAGCTTCAAGTCATACAAGTGTGCACCAGTTACCTCAACATTATAAATTTTAGACCTGGGGTTATTCAATGGGCTTTAAAGGTTCCAATGCCCTTTAAAGGCTCCGAAGTATGAAAAATACATGTACTTTAGATACTGTCTTGAGTACTCTTTGGGTAGCTTATATCTGTATTATGATATGTCTAGCAAGATGCGTATTTGCATCTGTATTTCTGATACATGAAGCAATGCATCATGTATTTCAAGAAAACAAGCTGCTGCTGTTAAAACACAGTCTGAAACTATAAAAGTTGGCTGCACTCCACTTCTCAAGCCGACAGTGCTGCCAGTAAACCACCCGAATAAAAAAACAAAGGTGGCGTTGCTTTTTTTTATCTTTCAGTCAAAACCCTTCAGCGAGGGCAGGCCTTGAGCTTTTGGCCTCCCCAATAATGGAGCAGAGTCCTGTGGTGGAGCTTGCATCGCTTCTGGAATAACCACGTGTGACCATATGTGGACAGCAGACATTTTGCTTTGTAATTTGTATCTCTCGTGTTATACTGCACACGCCAATGAGTGCAAAGTATTTTGCCCAAATTTTAATGCTGCTGCATAGTGTCTTCTAGAAGTTAGATTTAAGTGGTGCTTTCAAACTGTCTCTGTATTGTTTTTACTGCTTGTTTCCTGTAATATGTCTTGTAACAAGCTGCCAAAATATATTTTCTCCTGTATTCATTCTTTAGAACTATCTAAATCACTCCAAATGCTTAAACATTTGAATTATAGTTGAGTTCAACGTTATAATATTATATTACGGTAATGATGTGGATGCAATATTATATTGATTTATTGATATGTGAGGTTTAACCTCTTAAAACCATCATATGATTGTAAGACGCCGTAGTGGAGGGCTCCGAAAATTTTGACGACCTGGGGTTCTTTAATGTGCACCCAAATCTGAGCACACGGGCCTGCAACATTTTCGCCTCCATCGAAAATGCAGCCACCGCAGTTGGGATTCGATCCAGCGACCCGCGGGTCAGCAGCCGAGTACCTTAGCCACTAAACCACCACGGCGAGGCAAGAAATGTTATAGTCTGGGTGACTCTGAAGTGCGAAACTACAGAAGTCTGCTTACAATTGAGTGAAATAGCTAAAGTGAGTTTGCAGTAAAATAATACAGGAAGTTATATTGAAAAATGCAAAGCATGTTAGGAAGGGGATTAAAAAAAATTGTATAATGCCAAGTACCCCCTCTTTACCCATGGATGTTCACACGAGCCATTTCGCGTTATTAGGAAGAAATTTTCTATTGTTTGACCTTAACAGGCGAATGATCAATGCAGTACTCTCTCGGTAAACAGAAATTAAACGGGACTGCTGCTTAAAAGGAACAACTGCCCCTAATAAGATTGGTTTCACACTTGGATTCTGCACCCCTATTCATGACCACATTTTTCTGGTTAGTTTAGGTTTCCGTGTAATCAATCTACCGTAGTTTTTGCTATCACTCGTGCCGCATGTATTACGTTTACTGTTGTAGTGTGGCATAGAACCAATTTGAAGTTTTACTAAGATATTTCATTCCTTTTTTAACTCACCCTTAACATTCTTGCAGTTGCAAATAACCAGGTAATGAGAGATGCCAGTGGCAGCAGTGTGAACAGTAGTAGTATCTAAGCAACACTTTGCACCACAACAATATGCACAAATTTTTGGGCTCTGCAAGCTTTCTCATACAAGAATTATGGCAAAAGAATGACATCTTAATGAATACGCTAGACAATGGTTTATGCAAGCAATAAAATAAATATAAAAGATAATTGAATTGTTATGCATTCTCAGCACCCACAATGCATTGAACACACACACACAGGCAGTGCTGTGACTGCTGTACAGCTGTCCAGTGAAGCTGTAGTTCACAAACAATATAATGTGATAAGCTATTAAAATACCTCTACATTTAGGTTTATACATAGGTAACATTAGCATGAACTGGAGCTGGAATGAATTTTCATAATGATTATAAACTAATTGGGGCAATAATAAAGTTACAAGTGAAACAACATCCAATTTTTTTTCCCCCTTCTACCAATATGCTCCCCACGCCAGAAAGAAAAAGCTACATTTTTTTTTTCTTTCTGGCATGGCAAAAACTACAAGACTAATATAGTCTGATGTTTCATTCAAAAGAAACAAGACTTGTTGAGATTAAATTTCTATAGATTGCACGATCCATGCATTTGATGCATGATCCATGTATTTGCTGCTAGATAATATACACCTAAAATAAAAAATTTGGAAATTAATCAAAGTGCCCAAAGATATAAATGGAAAGTATCAGATTGGATTGGATACAATGTTTCCAACAGTATCTTGTATCATACTGTAATGCAATTGCAGAGTATCTTAGCTCAGCTCTGCATAAAGTGAACAGGATGTATTTAAGACAAGATCATTTTCTTTTTTTGCCTTTTGTGCACAAAGACTTCACTAATATATTTTTTCTTTGCTGCTAGAGACCCAACCACTACTTCTAGCTATGAGAAAACAAAAACACATATTAAAGTGATGAACTGTATAGTACAATTTATATAACAGTGGTATTAAAAGGTAGGCATGAATATTGGCAGGATGTCTAAAGATGTCAAATGCAGAAAAAAGCAAGACAAGTAGCAGACCACATGCTAATAAAATGTGCACATTGAACAGAGGTCCCCAGCAAAGTGTGTGAGCAGCCCATGTACACACTGCAATGGTCAAAGAAGACAAGGGAGGTCAGAGAAGGGGCACCTGTGAAACTCACCTTGGGGGATTTGGGGGCACACTCTCCCTTAGGGGCAGCTCCCTTTTCGTCCCCATGGGACGTGCTCACGTCTAGGTTATTCTATGGGAAAAGGGGGAAAACATTTCGGCCGCGGGGCACACACAGTGGTTTGGAGAAGGCTGACCCATAAGGATTTTAGAGGCAGAAGGAGGGAAGACAGACACAGCTACATACAGCTATGCACACACTGACAGGAGTTAGTTATAAGTCTACAACAGAACATGATATAAAACAGTTGTGCATCAAAGACATTAGAATAAATATCCAGTACCAAGTGGGCCAAAAGTTGAAAAAAGATAATCCACAAAAGATGCAAAAGAACAAATGAAATATGTTTTCATTGAAACCAATAAGAAATAGATGGAACCTTTTTTAGTGTTCAGGTTTAATAAACAAAATTAGGTCTTTATGTATGCTAAACATTGGTTTCAAAATATCTGTGTAGTATGCCAGCATTGAGAAAGAAGAAAAAATCTGGGTGCTGAAGGTGTGCACCTGATTATGAAGGTCACTGTAGTGTAAAACTATGGTTGTCGGGGGTTCTTAACATTAAATACAAGTATTCAAGAATTTTTGTGATTGACCACTAAAGCTGTAAATAGAATGCAGGCACCACAGCTGTGAACGGAAACCACAACTTCATGCTTAACAGTAGAATGCCTAGCCACCTTTGTTCACAGCAGCATGTGCATATCAATACAACAAAGTGTTTGCTTCAATAAAGATGTACTGAGCTTATACCACAAGGGCAACAAACAAATCTATATACATGACAGGACCAGCATATTGCGTTTATTGTGACACTACATGAAGAAACACATCTTAATGAAATGCTGAAAAATGTGTTGAAATAAATTTAAGCTGTATATACAATACTGCACTCTATTTGGCAAGCTATACTTATGTACTAGACCTTACTGTCCATATATGCTTCAAGTCAAAGTAAAGGTACAAAACAGTAATGAACTGTGGCAATATACTTCATATAACATACCAAGTTATCTCAAGAAACATAAACAAAATGTAGAAAGAAAGTAAAAGTTAAAAGGTGCAGTTATAACTCACCTGAGGATTAGCTTCAGTTGGCATTTCAAAGACACACCTCAATTTTGAGTCCATGAGGCTTTCAGGGTTAGCATCTCTCCACTGAAATGAAAGCACTAAATTCATCAGCAGTATAATAAACTCATATAAACTTAAATATAATAAACAGCAGCTTGAGCTATTATTACACACACGACCATTATCATGTATTTGACACCTTCACTGCAGTTTCTTTATCTCAGACCCCGGACTTATGAACTCACCATTACACTTCCGTGCAAACCTTAACCAATGTCTACAAAGCTTGCGCACCACAAAAATGAATTGCAAGAAATCTGCACACACACATGCATACGTAAAATGTGTTGGCATACAATGTGAAAACCGAGACAACAGCCCCCAAACTATTCACCTTATTTTGTATAACAGTAAATGGAGATACATGAACAAAACAAAAATACAGTGGCAGCTTGATGTACCCTTCCTCAGAAATCTTGGCAACTACAACAGCTTTTTTCAAGACCATTCTTATACAGAAGGCAATACTGCTATACAAAGGCACAGGATAAGCAAGAATAATATTAATTCAAAAGCATTACTTCCTACACAAAGTGGAAAATCCAGCCTCCACCTGGCATTAACATCTGATGATAAGACAACCACATGACAAAGTGGTAGTGCCACACTTCAATGTAAATGAAAACTAATCTATTCAAATACCCCTCCAAAAAAGGACGTTGCCCAATTTGAGAATCGAGTTGGCACATGTTGAAAGCAGACCTCGCCCGCTCTTGATATTGATTGTCCTACTTCCAGAGTAAGGTGGCCCACCCTCAAAATGGACTCTGCCCAGTTCGAGCACATGACAGTTTTCAAGACTCTTAAATTGAAAGAACACACCACCAAGTAATGATTAGAGGCCAGATATATAAGCATTAAATAATCTGGTTTACAAAATAAATTTTTACAAAAATTTTATGATGGTACAAAAGTGCCAATGGTTCAACATCGCCATGCAATTTTTCCCCGTAGCGTTTACAGAACACAGTCTCTCTTTTTATTGTCCAGCATGGAGAGTCAAGTGTCCATCGTCGAATAAGCACGCTCCTGGCTCTTCTTTTCGGCATGGCCGAGAATGACAGCACAGGAGCAAATAGCCAGACCACCAATAGGCTATAAGTGTCTTTTGTCTCGTACTAATCCGATGTAATTGCACAAGGTCAATTTCTCCTCTGTCAGTCAACACCTTAAAAGGGCCCCTCACCAGGTTTGAGCACTTCAAGCAGGCGAGAGAAATGGATGCACTACGCGCTCACAATCTCGTCTGCCATGATTTGCAATGCTACGCGCCCCGGAAAGAAGTCAAATGTCGGACTGAACGCCGCTCTCCCTTCATCTCACTGGCTTGCACCTCAACATGATGGAGGTGACATATACAACAAGGAATGATCCCGCATACGTCGAAGTAGTAAGTCATACTGCGAGAATTATTCGAAGTGACGTGTATAATTTGTGCAATATATTGCTTGAATAGAAGTGTGAAGGTTGATAGAAATATTAGAACATATACACACAATCTGTGCGCATTAGTTTTTCACTTCGTATCGAGTATATAAGACGAAAGACAGCTGTCTGTATTTTGTTTGCATTGGTGTTCTCACCATTATTGCGTTGTGCCAGTGCCAGCCCTGAAAATGCTTGCCACGTTTTTGGTGCATAGTCCTTTAGAGCAGTTCCCGTGGTGCGACGCTGTGTATCATGGTAAGCATGCATGATCCAAGCCAGCTTCTTCAAACGGGCGTGAATACAGAGATCCATCACCCCAAAACAGGCAGTACAACACACAGAACGCTGAAACAACAACACCGCTTGCGTGCATGACCTCGCTTGCGGATGTCATGTGAATGAAACCTTGCATACACATGAAGTGTGTGATCTTCTGGCTCCGAACTGCTCTGGTACTGAAGACGACAGAGAAGGAATTTAGCTTGCGAAGTCGACTCGGGTAAGTGGCGAAGGTTTCAAGCTCACCTGCTCTATTATGCTTTCACGGCTCATAATGAACCAATTAAAATATTCTTGTGGTATAAATGGTACAAAGCTTTTCATTGGGCACGCAACAACTTTCAGTGTCTAACTAATATTTGTCACGTGACCTGGTGAAGTGCCCTTTAGGAAGTACCCTCAACTTTTCCCCAATGACACTCCAAGGTTTCGCATTCGTTCCCAATCGTCCTGCGGCTGCACAGAAGCACCTCCCGTGTTCTACAGATGGGAATAAACGCCGGGGAGATGGGAGCAGACGACACGACGTGGATGAATACATGTGCAGAGGCTCATCAAGCTTCCTATTGGCTAAGGCACCTTGTGGCCTTGACAGTGCTGAAAGTAACTTCAGAGATGGAGCATAGGTTGCACCCCACAGTGTTCCGAAAGCTCACTTTTGCCCGGTAACATAAATACCCGTCTCCAACTGTACTCAAAAGCAAAATTTGAGGTTAGTGTTTATATGAGCACCGATTTTGAAAATAGACATTTACAGGCACTTAATACAAATTTAGGCAGAAATGTCGGAAATGGGCATTAATAGGCACTATAAAATTATAAAAGCCCTACTTAACCTCTGATTCACGCTCATATATCAAAGCGGCATGACATAAGTGCAAGAAACAAAATAGGCATTTGCCTATAATCCGGTCTCTAGTGATGATATCCAGTAACAACGTTGCACGACGTTTTATTTGTTATTTTATTTATTTTATTAGTTCTATAGTAAGTTGCACAGTTTTAGCTTTATGCCATGACAGTGTGTAAAATACAGTTAGCTCTGGCAAACTTTTTAGGTTAAAAATATTTACAGCTCTCAGCCTATAATGGTTAATATTCCTCTATATTAATTGTAGAATGCCAATAACTACCCAGAAAGTGCATATAAAACATTTTAATGGACAAGAAAAATTGTAACACTAGAATGCTTATAATTAGCCCACACCAATTGTTTATTTAGGTTCGCAATAATTATACAGGCAATATCAAACTTTAAATGAGATACTTGCACCCTTCACATGTTAAGGAATATGTGGGCAAAATTTCATGCTGATCGGGCTATCAGAAATACCAAAAACATGATGTCTCCCAAAAATGGATATTTAAATGCATTTTAAAGGTTTAAGTGAAAGCTCATCAATGCGAAAAGACATGTTTTTAAAAAAAGATGATTTCTTCCATCATGACAGCTTGGCAATTATGATTATTTTGAACATGTGGCTATAGCGAACTCCTCATGCAAAATTCAATGGCATGTAGCCAAGTGACAATTTCCAGGAAAATCTAGACAATGAGCTCTTTTAGTAGCCATCTTGTGCTCTTTTAAAAGAGATTTTAACCTACCAAGTTTATTTGCGATCTTAAGTTGTTTTTTTTTTTGTAGCGAAAGTAAAAAAACTATACTTGTCAAAGAAAAAAATATATATACTGATAGAAAAAAGTATTCTGCGACTCTGTGGGGGCGCTAACGCCCCCTGTAAAGTCTCTTGCATTTTGTGGCGCACGTGTTTCGTGCATAGCCTGCATTCGGTTTCACAACTACTGGGCGGTAGGTGGAGTTGTACTCGCAAGCTTTTATCACCACCATCATCATCATGGTTAGAACGGTAGCACCAGTGCCGACGCTTGGCGGCACATGAGAGAGAACCGGGCCTTTTCTGCCTGTGGCGGTTGGAGCGTACGGTTGTCTTGCGGCGGGCCGGGGTGACACTGCGGGCCCTCGTACTGAGCCAAACGTTGGCGAAGCCGCCTTGTGTGCGTTTTGTTATGTTGTTGAGTGTTGCAAAATTTTGTAAAGGTTGTTTTAGCTTGTTGATCACAATGAGTTATGTGTATTATTTCGGCTGGCGATATCATCGTTCTAAAAGTAGTTTAATAAATATGCGTAGTTTGGTTCGTTCCGACCATGTCTACTGCATCTGTTCACTCCAAGAGCATGGTGCTTTCAACACCGAGACTCCACCACTCACATCTCCCCTGATGGGGGGACGACGTGCCTTTGGAAATGAACTTTTTTGTTTCTGGTTGGATATTGATGAAAATTGGCACAAACACTTAGAATGGCCTCACAGTGCTTCCATAAAAAGTTTGAGGCGATACCACAAAAACTTCGAGAGACAAATTTATTTCTTCATTGAACCTCGTGGAGGGGCTGTAGGATTTATAAAACGACAAGAATAGTTAGTAAATACTGTACATGCAGCCAAATGTATGCTGAAAAGAGCTGCATTTTCAAAAAAATTTTTTTTTTGCTACACTAAAACTTGTAGTTAACGTTTTTTTCAGCGACACTGCAATGAGTACACTTGCACTACAAACATGAAGCCCCACGAAGAATTCTTTAGGGAGTAAAATGAAAAACTAAGATCGCAGCTCCCTGAAGCACAATTCAAGGAGCGTTATACCCAGGCCACACGGGCAGCGAAAATGGCATTTACCTCCTGATGCCTTCAGATTGAATGTCATTCGCGTGGTGCCACACGGCTGAACGAAATGGCATTCGCCCAAATGCTATTCGTCACCTAATGCCATCGCCAGAACTCATTCGACTGAGAAATGCGTACTCTCGACAGCACAGCTGATGAAGTAATTGTATAAAACAACATTTGATTCGACTGAAAGGAAACTTTTTGCGTATTTTATTTTCATTAATCACTTAAACAAGTGCTTTGAAACTTATCTTCAGCTGACAGACGCTGTAAAATAAATGCGACAGGCGCCATTTTCTTTTTACGCTGCGGATCTGGCTAGCTTTGGCTTAAGTTGCTACATTGTCGGTTGCAACGTCGTGAAACAAAATAACGAACGAAATCTAATGGCAGCGTAACATGCTTATTTATACATTTATCTTTTATCTGATGTGTATGAAGCTTGTAAACGCTTATTTTTTTTTTATTGCTACTCACCCAATGCTCATGAGGAAGGTGCTGCGATTGACACCATCAAGTCAAATGTCATTCGCTTTGAACGTAGAGCAGCGCTGCCGAACTAAATGTCATTCCAGAACCGAATGCCTTCGCTACCGAATGTCATTTTCTATGCTTGTGTGGCACGGG